TACGTATTGCAAAATGATCACCACGATAAATCTAGTTAACGTGTCACCAAATGTAGTGAGAAAAGTTTTTTTTCTTGTGATGAGGACTTTTAAGATCAGCTCTCTTAGCAACTTTCAAATATGGAATACAGTATTATTAACTATAGTCCCCATGCTGTGTTTGTTTTTTAAACGAAAAGAGATCGTTTGTTAAATAATTATGCAAAAAGATTTTAAAAGAAGAAAGTCAAAACCGCCCATGAGCTCAGGCCTGTATTCCCAGTGGGGAACCCCCTCAGCACCTTGGCAGATGTCTTTCTAGACCTTTCCTAATTATGTTTGCTAATATTTTCTGCACTCATGGATCACGTCACACTATTGTTTTGTAATCTACTTTTTTTGCTTACTACCTCATTCGTGTGTATGTTTCTCCAAGATGTAAATCTTTGACCATAGCTCATCACATCCTTTGGGTAAATTTCCAGAGGTAGAATTCCCGGTCAAAGGTGAGGTCATGTTTAAGACTCTTTACTCAGTTTTCTAGACAAGAAGTTAAAAATGTAACTGTCCCAGGGGAGGGCAGCCCAGAGAGCTAGTTTTTTTCTGATGCAAACCTAACACAGGTGAAAAAGTTTAAACATTCAGAAATGTATAATGTGGAGTGAGAAGCTCCCCCCGAATCCAGCTCCCTGAGATGACTTCTGGGAACGGGTATGTGTGTGTTTTCCAGTGTTTCTCAATAGACAGAGACCGATATTTTATTGTTGTTAGCATTTGTCTTTACAGAGGGGAGGTCATACTGCCAGTGGTGTTCGGCAACCTGCTTCTTTGTGCTCACTTAGCAACATATCTTGGTGTTCTTTCCACATCTGTCCGTATAGATCAACCTCATTCATTTTATTTTTCACTTGTCTTTAATTTTTATTTATATGTATTTATTTACAATAGGAACACATTCACATGGTTAAATTTCAAAAGGCATAAAGGGTTCTATATACTATGTAAAATCTTCCTGGCACTGTGGTAGCCTAGCCACCTAGAGAGTTCTCCCAGAGCCAGTCTGATAGTCTGATAATGGTTTTGTGTGTCCTTCCGGAAATAAGTTCTTTGCAAGTTGCATGAAAATGAAAATATAATCTTTTTTCCCCTTTTTATACCCAATGGAAGCATAGTAGACAACCTGTATCATAACCTGCCTTTTTCACTCCCCATTCCATGTGAGCATGTCAAGAGCTTCCTCATTCTTCGTGCCTGGGAGGTATACCATTGTATGGTTGTACCAGAGTTTTTTTAGTCTGGTCCCTGTAGCTGGACTCTTGCCACTGTAAGCAGTGTTGCGTTGAATGACCTTATAATGTGTCATTTCATACACATGAGTATATCTTTGTAGATAACTTCCTAGAAGTGAAATTTCTGGGTATAAGGTTGGGAATTTTTGTAATTTGGATAAACATTGCTAAGTCACTTTCTATGGAAGTTTACACTCCCACCAGCAACTTATAAGAGTGTTAATTTCCCCATATCCACGCCAACGGAGTGTTATTATCAAATCTTTGATCTTTGCCCATCTGACAGTTGGAAGAAAAACTACATCTCGGTGGAATTTTCTAAATGTGAAATTTGATAAGTTTTGACTTATGTATGCAAACCATCACCACAATCAAGATAGTGAACATATACCATCATCCCCAAAAGTTTCCTCCAGCCCCTTTGTAATCTGTCCCTCCCACCCCCTCACCACGCCCGACAACCATGGATTTGCTTTCTGTCACTGTCTATTCGTTTGCATTTTCTGGAGTCAGATGGACCCATACAGGATGTACTCTTTTTTTGGTCTGGCTTCTTTCACTCAGTGCAATTATTTTGAGATTCATCCACGTTGTACGTGTTGGTAGTCCATTTCTTTTTTGCTGAGTAGTATTCCATCCTATGGATAATTTGTTTATCCAGATGCCTGTTGAAGGTCATTTGGGTTGTTTCTGATTTTTGGCTATTACGCATATGGCTGGTCTGAACATTTCTGTACAAGTCATTGTATGCGCATGTGGGTTTTCTTCTCTTGGGTGAATACTGAGGAGTGGAATATTTTGCTCATACGGTAGGGGTGTCTGAGTCAGGAGGTTGGTTTGACTGGCTTTTTAAGGAACCTCAAAACTGTTTAACAAAGTGGTTGTGCCATGCTGTATTCCCACCAGCCGTATATGAGAGTTCCAGTTCCACCACGTCCTCGTCAACACTTGGAGTGATCAATCTTTTGAATTTCAGCCATTTTAATGCATATGCAGTGGTACCTCATTGTAGTTTTAATTCGCATTTTCCTAACGAATGATGTTGTCTTTCTTTCTGTGTGCTTTATTGCCATCTGCATATCTTTTTTGGTGAAGTGTCTGATCAACTCTTGCCCTTTTTTTTTTCACCTTGGGTTTTTTTTTTTTTTTATTATTCAGTTCTGAGAGTTCTTTGTACATTCTGGATACAAGTCCTTTATCAGTTATATGCTTTGCAAATATTCTCTCCCAGTCTGTGGCTTATCTTTTCATTCTTTTAACAGTGTCTTTTGTAGAATAAAAAATTTAATTTTGAGCCAGCTCTGATGGCCTAGTGGTTGAAGCTTGGCACGCTTTGCTTCGGCAGCCTGGGTTTGGTTCATACGCAGCCTGGGTGCAGAACCACACTGCTCGTCTTTCAGAAGCTGTGCTGTGGTGGTGGCTCACATATGAGAACTAGAAGGACCTACACCTAGAGTACACAATGAGATACTGATGCTTTGAGGTGAAAAAAAAAAGAGGAAGGTTGGCAACAGATGTTAGCTTAGGGCGACTCTTTCCCAGCAAAAAAAAAAAATTTTAGTTTTGATGAACTCCATTTTATCAAATTTTTTTTTTTTTTATAGATCATGCTTCTGGTATTGTATCTAAGAAATCTTTGCCTAAACTGAAGTCACAATTCTTATTTTGTGTATCCTTCCAGAAATAACTTTTATGGAAGTAGCATGAAAATGAATATATAATCTTTTTTTACTTTTCTACCGTTTTTATTTTTAGAAGTATTAAAGTTTTAGGTTTTCGATTTAGGTCTGTGACTCATACGGAGTTAATACGTGTATATAGTACAAAGTATGAATCAAGTTTATTTACTTATCTATTTACTTGCATATTGCTATTTAACTGCTCCAGGACCATTTGTTGAAAAGGTTGTTGTTTTCTGCACCAAGTTGCCTTTCTACCAATGTGAAAAAAAAGGGTTTTCCATATATTTGTAGGCCTATTTCTGGGCTTTCTGTTCTGTTCCTTTGATCTGTGTTGACACCTACACCATAGTTTCTTCGTTACTGAGCCTTATAATAAATCTTGAAACCAGGTAGTGTTAGCCCTCCAGCTTTGTTCTCCTTTTTTCACAATTGCCTTGATTATTTTAGATCCTTTGTATTTTCATATGAATTTTGGAATCAGCTTGGCAATTTCTTCAAAAACCCTGCTTTTAAGGTTTTGATTGAGATTGTGATGAATACAGATAAATTTGAAGAGAATTGTCATCCTGGTAATATTGAGTATTCTGACTCATGAATGAGGCACGTCCCTCCATTTATTTACCTCTCTTAAAAATTCTCTCAGCAATGTTTTATGATTTTTAGTGTGCAGGTATTGTATATATTATTCTGATTTATCCTGAAATATTTTACGCTTTTTGATGCTATTCTAAGTGGTATTTTAAAATTTCAATCTGCTAGTATTTAGAAATATAATTGATGTTTGTGTATTGTTCTTTTATCCTGTTTTGTAGATTTTATCAGATTTTGTACATAAATGATTGTGTCATCTGAGAATAAAGATAGTTTTACTTCTTTCTTTACAATCTTGGATGCCTTTTATTTATTTTTTTGACTTGATTTACTGGCTGGAACCTCTAGTACAGTGTAGACTGGGAGGGTGGTGAGAACAGACACCTTTGTCTTGTTCTTGATCTCGGATGGGATAATATGGAGAATTACATTGATTGGTTTTCAAATGTTAAACCAATTCTTTCAGTTTTTACTGTATGTATTTTGGAGTTCTGTTCTTAGGTACATAAACATTTAAGATTGTTGTCTCTGCTTGATGAACTCATTTCTGTGTCATTGTGAAATTACTTTTCTTGATCTCAGGTAATATTCTTTGTTCTGGCTGCTTTTAAGATTTTCCGTGCATTTATAAGTTTTCATCAAATTTGGAACATTTGTAGCCACTATTTCTTCAAATATTTCTTCTTTCGGCCTCTCTTCCCCATTTCTCCTTTAGGGACCCCAATCACACGTGTATTAGTCAGCTTGAAGTTGTCCCACATCTCACATGCTCTTTTCTTTTGTAATTCTTTTTTTCCCTCTGCTTTTCATATTGGATGTTTTCTATTGTTATTTCTTCAAGTTCATGAATCTTTTTTCTGCAGTATCTAATTTGCAACTAATCCATCCAGTGTATTTTATATCTCTAGAAGAGGAATTGGGTCTTTTTACATCTTCTGTGCCTCCACTTAACTTTTTGAACACGTGGAATACAGTTATAATAATTGTTTTAAAGCGTTTGTCCTCTCATTCTAACATCTGTGTCTGCTTTAGCTCAGTTTTGATTAATTGACAATTTTCCTCATTTTGGGTTGTATTTTCCTGCTTTTTTTTTGCATGCCTCGTAATCTTTGACAGATACCAGATATTGTAAATTTTATCTTACTGGGTGTTAAATATTTTTGTTTTCCTATAAAGAGTCTTGAGCTTTCTCTGGGACATAGGGGATTTACTTGGAAAGTTTGATCTTGCTTTTAAGATTAGTTAGATGAGACTTGAGCCTGCGACTAATTATTTCTTGCTATTGAGGCAAAATCCTTCTGAGTTCTCTACCCAATGCCCTGTTCCTTTTTTTTTTTCCTTGAGGAAGATTCGCCCTGAACTAACATCTGTGCCCATCTTCCTCTATTTTGCATGTGGGTCACCACCACACTGTGGCTTGATGAGTGGCATAGGTCTGCACCCAGGATCTGAACCCACGAACCCGGGCTGCCCAAGTGTAGCACGCCAGACTTAACCACTACGTCATGGGGCTGCCTCCTGCCCTGTGACTTTTGAGGTTCTCCAGCCTGGCTGGTGGGGACAGTGCTGGCCCTGTGTGTGTTGGGCACTGTTCCCCCTCATCCTTCTTCTGGATCTTTCCCTGGCCCTGGGGAAGGAACTGCATGTGCTGATTATGTTCTGCAGAATTCCAGCGGGACCCCCTGTGGATCCCCAGCGTTCCCTCTCTCTTCAGCTCTCTCCTCTTGGCATTCTGTCAGGCAAACTCTGGCTGTCCTGGTCTCCCTGGACTTCAGCTCCATCTCCTCAGGTCAGGAAACCCACCAGGCTCTGTGGGCCCCCTGCCTGCCGTGCAGCCTGGGGCATGCTGGGGCTCACCTTCTCATTGTTTCCGTCTCTTGGTGACCACTGTCCCTTTGTCACCTGATGTTCGATGTCTTGAAAACCATTGTTTCAGATGTTTTGTCTGGTTACTTGGTGATTTAGGGTGGGAACCTAACTCTAGTCCATGTTGTTCCATCCTGGCTGGAAGCGGAGAGCTTAATTGGTATTTTTCTCCTTAGAAGGACCTTTCCCACGTAAGACGGTGTAGAGAATTCCACAGTACAGACAGTCCTTACCCTGAATGTATTCATGACCTGACAGGAGAGTCTGGCTGGTCCAGAGGGTGGCTGGGGCAGGGCCTGGTGCTCAGAGGGGCGGGGACACCTCACTGGTCGCCCTGGCCGGCCCCGCCCCTTGGGAGCGAGCCTCCGAGAACATTTGTGTGGGCTGGAGGCTGTGTTTTACTCCCAGCACCACACACAGTCTCAGTGGCTTGTCCAAGGGCTGTGTGCACAGCCGAGCGTGGGAGCCGCGTCAGGGCAGGAAACCCCAGAGTGCTCGGGCTTGCCAGCGAGGCGCCCGTTCAAGATGTTGTCATGGGGAGAGAGGGGAGAACGGAAGTGGGAAGGGCCTGGTGTGAATCACGCTGGCTGGGAGGCCTGGCTCCCGCCCCGGCCGGCCGGGCCTCCGGGCCTCTGGGTCTGGCTGCAGGGCTGGCCTTTGTCCCGCCCTCCTGTGGTGGAGTGCTGGCTCCTGGGCACAGATGTGGGGCCGGGGCCCCTGGCCTGCCTGTGCGCTCAGGAGGTGGGGAGCCGGGGCTCGGCCGAGACCCACCCCTGGGCCCCCTTGGATGCCTGAACTCCGCTGCGGCTGTGGAAAATATCCGCTGGGTCTGCAGCCTTGGGAAGGGCGGCTGAAGAGGCCGTAAATCATCCACCTCGGCACTTCTTGGCCTCGAGAGAGGTCTGTGGTCAGGCCCTGGGCAGCCCACCGTCCCAAGACCAGGCTGGCCATGGCCGCTCTGTGGGGCCAGAAACCCAGATGGAGGGGCAGAGCCAGGGGGCGGCCTCAGAGCCCTGCCACTCCTCTCGTCATGCTAAAGGGGATGCTGAGGCCAGGCAGGGGCTTTTCCAGGGACACGCAGCCTGATCCAAGGCTGGGGTACCCCTGGCCTTCCCTCCTCCGCTGGAGGAAGTGGGGAGACAGGGGCACAGCGCCTTGGGCAGGGCCCTGTCCGCGCCCGAGCGCCGTGGTTCTCCCTGTCTCCGGCCCCTCTGCAGGTTTGCCTCTTGGCTCATGGAGGAGCCATCGGCTCTGTGAGGCCACATGCCAGCAAGTGCCTCGGCAGAACTGGAAGGCCAGCCTGTGCACTCTCGGGTGAGAGACCCAGATGGAGCCCTTGGAGTGATGAGGGGATGCAGCCCTTGGGGCTGCTCCTCACGGTCTTAGAGGTCGTCCTGGGCAATGTCAGGTGAGCTTCCAAAGGGCAGGCTGAGACATGCTGTGTGACATTGGGCAAGGCCCTTGCCTCTCTGGGCCTGAGTTGCTGCATCTATCAAGTGAAGGGATGTGCTGGATTGTCCCAGGGCCCGTACCAACTCTAGAAACTCTCAGAGGCTCCCTTTGACCTGGGATTTGGGCCCTCCTGGGGATGCCAGGCTGGGGGGTGGCCCTGGAGGGACTGTGGGAGGGTCTGGGGCCTCCCAGAGAGCATCACTGTGTCCCTGAGAGGATGCCTGGCAGTCAGCACCTTCCCAGGCTTGGAGAGGCTGGACTTCCCAGGGCCAGGAGGTGGAGTGGGAGCTCCTCCCAGGGCCTGGAGTGACCTCTGAGGTTGTGTTAGGAGATTTTGGGGACTTTCCCCTTTGGCACCTGTGTGGGGAGGCCTGTCCTGAGGTTGTTCTGGGGAGGTGACCACATTTTAATCATCACCCGAGCTCTGTGCTGACTTGTCCCTGTGAGCCTCTAATAGCACCTGCCTGCCTCCCGCTGGCCGGGCCAGGGACGACCCCCACCCCCACCCCCACCCCCGGCCTCCGTCAGCGCTTGGACCACAGAGTCAATCTTTCCTTCTCGGCGGTTCGTCAGACCTCCCCCTTGTCTCTTTCTGCTCTGTTCTCATGCCCTGAAGTTCTGTGTTTACCTCCTTGCAAAAATCAAAACAAAATCGCCATAATATTTCCAGGTCCTTCTGGAATCCCGCCCTGTCGTTCCTCTTCATTAGGCATACTTTTCTCTAAACCCTGTCCTGGGAAGTTCTGACCCGGAATGCCCTGTTGTGCAATCCCGAAGGGCGCTCTGGAATCTGTTGAGCCGGGCCTTGTCCCGGCCGGGGAGAGCGGGCCGGGGGAGGCGGGACGGTCTAGACAGGCCGCGAGTCGGCTTGGTTGCCGCCAATGCTGTTGCCAGACATTTCCTCCCATCAGATTGCTGGTTTGGATCTTGGTACAATTTCATTGGTTTTCAAAATAAAGAAGAATGGGTGTCCGGAGAAAGGTAGGTCACTGAGGAGAAAGCTCACCTTGTGGAGCTGACTTCAGCAGCCTCTTCCAGGCTAGAGTCTGGGTGAGATGGCAAGCTTGGGGAAATGACCCCGGGAGGGACAGTGTTGGCTGGGCTGGGCTGGTGAGTGGAGGAAAGAACCAGAGAGGCAGCCTGGGGCTTGTGGGGATCCTGGAGCCAGGGTGGTGGATGTCTTTATCGTGGAGCACTTTATCCCCTGGCCACACGGTCCCAGCCCGCGGCCAGCTGCTCCCCTCCCCTCCCCTCCCCTCCCCTCCTCAGTTTGTCGCTAGCTGGGGCGAGAGGGAGTCGCAGCTGGAACCCAGTGAGGAGGGGTGTGGAGGGTGGGGCAGAGGGGCGCACAGGGGTGCAGGAGCACCTGCTCCCAGCCCAGGAGCCACCTCGTCTGTCTGCCTCCAGCCCCTGGCCCACTGTTTCCTCTGCCCCTCCACCTTCCTGCTGGTGCTCATTTCCTCCACTCCCTTCTCACCGACAAAACCAGCGTGGGCTGGGCCGACCTGGTTTTCAGCCCCACATCGGCCTGTGACATGGCACCCCCTCCCTGGGGTTGTGTCCGCACCTTGTAGAGGACTGACCCACCCCACATGCGCCAGCGCTCGTGTGGCCGTCAGCCTCCCTTCTGACCTCTGATGCTTGTGCTAAACTGGCCACGTGGCATTTTGGGTGGTGCCACTGCTTGAGGGGTCTCTGGAGGGTTAAGGACAGTGTGTAACACATTCAGCCCAACGCCTGCCCTGTGCGGGCGTCCCCCCTCCTCCAGCCCCATCAGAGGTGACAGGTATATGTAGGCAGGGGGTGGAAGGGAAGGGAGCACCTGGCCCTTGCTGGTGCACGCATCCATCATGGAGATGTCTGTGCGTTATGATGGCCTGGGTCTCCGCCACTGGACACTAGTACCAGAAAGCTGTCACGTTAATCCTAGGGCCCCTCCCTAGAGCCCTGGTTCCCTGCCCGCCAGGTCTGGGCAGGGGTCCCCATCACTGACCAGGCCAGTGCTCCCTCTTGTCCTAGGGTTCAAGTTAACTCTGCTGTTTTTCCTAGAACTTTGGGCTTTTGCGGACCCAAATGCCTGCCTCTTTGTCCTTGGAGTGCAGGAGGGGTCCTTAGAGAAAGTGCCGGCCCTCTGGCCATTTCTGAGGTCTTCACTGTCACCTCCATTGGTCCAGCATCTGTCACCCATCTTGCTGGCGCACCTCACCCCCGGAGTATCCCATCCCCGAGGGCGCTCTGCAGTGTGGGAGGAGGAGGAACTCGCCCAGGGCTGCACAGTGAAGGGCCCTCGAGGCGGGCCGGTGGGTCAGCTGCCTGCTTTCCAGGGATGCCGGGCCTGCCCTCGTTGAGGCTCTGGGGTGTCCCGGTGCAGAGGACAGCCTTCCTGGTGTGTGGCTTCAGGCAGATGCTGGGGTGGGGCTCAGCTGAAGGAGTGATTGCTGGGGGCACCCCCGCTGGGTCTGGACCGTGGCATCCTCCCTCAGCCAGAGAGCACGGCCTCCAGAAAAGGTTTGTTTCCCTTCTCATGAAGGGGCAAAGTAGCAAATTAGGCAAAATAGCAGATTAAGTCAGGCCTCGGTGCCGTGTCTGCAGCACAGCTGGTGGCTGAGATTCAAGTGATCAGAGGTGTGCACAGTGGCACCCACGGAGCTGTGTCGTCTCGTGCCATGAGCGGCTGCAGGCACAAGGAGGCAGTTGTCACGGGCACCCAGGTGCCCTTCTGAGAGTGGGTAGCCCACGCTGGTGGCAGTCATGGCCTCTAAGGAGGGGTTTCCAGGTTAGGGAGCTCAACGGGGGGGGGGGTCCCTGCCCTGGGAGGCAGAGGGTACAAGGCTGGCTGGAACAAGGTGTACAGAGTGCGCCTGCGACTTGGCCTGCTTTCTCGTGGAGTTAGCTCAGCAGCTGGCTGCGGGGCGGATCTGTTGGCGGGCTCATTTTAGAGATGGAAAAACAGAGGTGCCGTGTTTGTAAGGAGCGTGCTGGAGGCCTCAGCTGCGAGGACGTCTGCTGGGATTTGAACCCAGGCCTGCTGGTGTCAGGGGCTTTGCTCCTTCCCCACATGGTCTCCAGCTCAGTGACCGAGATGGAAACACAGAAGGGAGTAGGAGAAGAATCCTGTGAGGATCTCAGGACAATAGCCATCGTCTGTGACTGACTCAGCCACCATCTTCCTACCTCTCTGCCCCCCCTCTTTTTTTCTTCTCTCTCTGCACCATCCATCCACCCCTCTAGCCATCCAGTGACCATTTATTGAGCACCACTGGGAGCCAGCATGCTGGCCTTTGGGGACACAACACTGAATAAGACCTGGTTCTTGCCTCACAGAGCCCCCCAGTGTGGGGGCCGGGGCCGGGGAAGGTGGGCAAATCAATGGACCCTCAGGATGCCAAGGGGCAGGGGCTGTGCTGGAGGTGGCACAGGCAGTGGGGGCGGCCTCACCCTTAGATGGACACAGAGGCTCCCCTGTGAGAGGGCTGTCGGGCCTATGGCTTGTCCAGACTCAGCACCAAACCCAGGCCTCCTGGCCCCCGTCTTTGCCCTGTCCTTCCAGAAAAGGGGAAGGCCCTCTGAGAAGCAGCCCAGCTCCCCTTTGGCTGTGGTTCCTCCATCTGGAGAACGATGGGGTGGGGCTAAAGAGACACCCCAAGGGTCCTTGACTGAGTGTTGTGAGGCTGGAGGGATCTGAGGAGGAGACGTCCTTGGCTGGGAACTGGATAGGCTTTGAGGCCAAGGTTAGGGTTTCACTGGATGGAGAGAGAGGCAGGAGTTTCCAGATAGGGGTCCACAGGGCAAGGCCCTGGAAGGTTCTGAAGCCTGGCAGAGAAGCCTCAGGGTCTCGCCCGGCCCTGTTCTTTGACCTTATTACCACTGTGCCCTGGTGTGAACCTGTTGCTCCAGCTGGACTGGTCTTGGGTTCCATGAGTGTCCACCCACCAGAGGCCCCCTTCCCTTGGGCCTCCCCATACCCCAGGACAGACTCCTGACTGTTGTCACACTTTTGATAGACTAACTGGGTCTCAGGTCTCTGTCCCCTTCACCTGGTGGAGCCTTGGCACCCACTGGCCATCATCACCGTTTGCTGAAGTAGGGAGAGGGGACAGGTTGGGTTGAGGGGACTTGAAGGCCTGGGAGGACCCGCTGCAACTGAGCTTCTGGTCCAGGGTCTGAGGGAAGGGAGAGGACCTGTCTCTTGGTGAGAATCTAGTTTGTGAAGGTTGTGGGCGGCTTGTCCTGAGCAGGGAGCCCGGTGACAGCAAGGCCGGGCATCCAGTGGGTGTTCAGGGGTCTTGCTGCTGTCTGGCCCCTGGGGAGAGCTCTCCAGGAAGGATCAGGGAGGGGCCGGCTGGGAGACCTGGTGCTGCAGAGCCCTGCAGACAGGGGACCGCCTTCTAATTACAGCCTCTGGCAGAATGACAAGGAGCCACACTCTGTCAGCCGGCCTGTGCCATCTTGTCCCCTGGAGGAAGTTCTGATGCCCTCTCGGGACCGCCTTTGCTAAAGGCGCGGAGCATGGATTTGGCGTGTCAGTAATGTGTTTGTGGGGTGGGGCTGTGAGAGGCAAGTCGGGGCCAAAACTCAAAATCATTTGTAAAGGATTTGGTGGCAGGTTCTGTTGTAGGAGTGGGTTTTGTCAACAAGAGGGCCTGTTAGGTTTTCCCAGGCTAGCTGGCTGGCCAGGGCTCTGCAAAGCCGGTCCCTCTGTCCAGGGACATAATCCCATAGCCCTGTTAGGACATTGCGCTCTAAGAACTTTCCTACTGGGTCCCAAGAAGAGCCATTCTGGTGGTGCTGACCCTCAGGGTTGCCCAGATGTCCGTATGCACCCAGCACAGAGGAGGTGCCCACGTGTCGGGGTCAGCCAGGCTTGGGCTGTGGGGGACCCTTCCACAGTGCTACCTGAGGCTGTGCTGGAGAGGGGGCATCGCAGGCCTGGGCGGCAGCCCAGTAACCCAGGACACACTGCCCAAGTTGTCAGGAGCAGGGTTCTCACCTCCAGAACACACTCTGACAAGATTGCCGGGTGGGTCCCAGGAATTTGCTAATAACACCAGATACCCTACAGGTGTTTATGTGGATGTAAATTTTTTTTTTTTTAAAGAATTGATGCTTCCAGGTTAGCCTTTTCATGATGTCACCCTCACTCATGTGTACCCCCATCCTGAGTGGGAGTGAGGGGCTGGGTCACAGCTGGGCAGCAGGTGGGCCTCAGCCTGAGGCCCACCTAGGGTGAGCACCTGCGGGCGCCGTGCATGGTGGGAAGGTTGCCGGAGTTTGCTTTCTGCTGCTCCCCTTTGCACAGGCGCTGCAGGCAGAAAGGGCCGGCGCCCAGCAGGCTTGGGACAAGCCACTTCCTCTGGCTTTCTGGGCGCTTCCATGCATGTTGTGCTCTTCTGAAGGCCTTGAGAAGTCCTGCACTGAAGAACCTTGTTTCACGCTGACCCAGCGTTTCGAAAACACACAGAGCCCGGAGCTGTTGTTTCCCTGTTTTTAGATGTCTCTCCAGTGACAGGCTTTTAAGTTAGCTCGGGTTTATTGCTTTGTCTCTCCTGAGGAAGTTAAGAGCTGTAACATTTATTCCTTTGTTCGTGCAGCAGACGGCCAGTGGAAGTAGCTGAGTGCTTCTGATTCTACTCTCCGGGGTGCAGTAAGTACACTGAGGTTCCGGGCACGGTGCCCCCGCCTGCCCCAAGGCCCCAGTCCAGTGCCCTCCTTCCAGGGGTCTTACCTTGAACCTCCCTCCTGCCTTTGGCACCCACGTTCATCTCTGGCGGTCCCACCCTCTCTCCAGACATCCCTGCCTGGCACCACTGGCCCTCTCCCAGGTGCCCTCAGGGTGCAAGTCCCCTCCCCTACTGTTCACACCCTGAACCCAGTCCTGGACGCCCCTGGGAGAAGGTGGAGGGTGACCTCAGGCTGTGCCTTTTCTCCTGCACCTCTGGGGACCGAGCCCCCTTTTACTGCATGGCCTGTTGCTGACTTTGGTGGTGGCCTTTGTGTGAGGCATTGATGAGTCCTTCCTTGTGGCCTTTACGCTTTTCGTGAGGCCAGTCCCAGTGGCTGGGTTGAGGTTTGGGGGTGTGTTGGGAGTATGTCTACGCTGCCCTTAGAAAGCTTCAGGATTGCAGGTTTTGCGTCTTGTGCTAGGGTTTGGGGATCCAGTAGCGTGGGGTGCTCTTGGTGATGAAAGTGGAGTTCCCTCTAGTGGAAATAGAACACCGTGCACTACCCTATGCTTACATCCCTCCTAGTTTCTACCTGTCAAGTCTCCTCATGCTTGGAGAGCCAGGGGCAATGCTGCCGCTTCCAGGAAGCCTTCCCTGACACCCAGGCAGGCTCCTGCAGTACCCACCCTCCTCTGTATCTCTCTTTTGCGGGTAATCTGTGAGACCAGAACAGTGGGCTGTCCCGCCACGGAGCCGCTTGCTGCTGCCAGGGCCTGCACTCTGGGGTGGGCCAGCTCGGGGCTGCCCTCTTGCTGTCTGCAGGCTGTGTGGGCCCCTAGAAGACATGGCCCAGTGTGACCAAGGGTTGAGTGAGGGAGGGCGTTTGTGGGGGTGGGGGATGCTCTCAGTCATCACCCTGCAGCAGGTGGAGTGGCCCCTCACCCCTCCCTGTCCCATGTCATTCTTTCCCTCCTCCCTCCATGCAGGGAGGCAGGTCCTAAAGCATTTGCAGCTGATAACGCTCAGCCTTGGCCTGGCTGTGCCTCCCTTGGGGTCTGTGCTGGGAGGGTCAGTATTGAGCCTCGTCTTCCCCACAGATTGGGGGCTTCTTGAGGCAGGGGCAATAGCATCTCCTCTTCTGGATCTGTAACGGGTGGTGGGTCTTGGAGGCTGGGGACCCGACGGTGGGAGGTCGGCTGGGGTAGCCGGAAGCAGAGGGACAGAGAGAGAACAGGGATGATTAAAGCTCTCCTCCTGGCTCAGCTCAATGCCCGTGCAGCTCAGGCTTTGCTTCCTCCAGGAAGTCTTCCCTGCTTTCACTCCCCAAGTTCAATTTGGTGCCCACAGGCTTCCAGAGCACCTCATGATTCTCTCTACTGCTGCGTTTCCCCTTTGGCCTTGTTGTCTCTCTCCATGTGCCGTGAGCTCCTGGAGGGCCAGGTCCGTGTGGCTTGCCCCTTGTGTCCCGAGCAGTGTTTCCAGGTACACAGTAGGTGCTCAGTAAATGCGAAATGGATGAATGAGTGGTAGAGGGAGCCAAACCAGAGGAGCCAAATACGGCAGTAGGGCCAAGGCAGCCGTGGGAACCAGCGGTGGGGGAGAAGGCAGATGTTGCAAGAGTGAGGAACAGAGAGGTGCCAAGGGAGAGGGCCTTGGATGGCCTTGGGGCCTTGGTGGGGTGTGCGGGGCTGGCTGGGCAGTGGGCCTTAGTACCTGCCTGCCCATCAGCACAGGGAGGCGGTGCCTAACCTTTGCCCTCGCCCGTGCAGTTGGGGAAAGCTCAGAGCTGTCTCCCTCCAGTAGGGCCGATCTGTGGCCCAGGCTGTAGGGAAGCAGATTCTGCAGGACGAGACGGGGCCTCTGGGGCGGGCAGAGCTCTGGCCCCAGTAAAGTCAGGGCGGAGGTGGGAGGAAGGTCCTCAGGTGTCTTTGAGACGCTGACCCCTTTGTCTTTGAAGCCCGCTGCCTGGTTTCCTTTTGGCGTGTGCCAGCGTGGGCCCGAGGAGACACGGGGAGTGAGAGGGGAGATGTGGATGTGGGGAGAGTGTTCAGAATGTAAAAAGCAGCAGGAGAACACTCCTGGAATCCAGACAGCATTTGTCACAGCCATCACGCCTCTTTTCCAAACAAAAGTTCCTCTGTGGACGGGTCTCAGGCGTCCGGGACTCTCGCCCAGCTCCTCTCCCGCGTGGCCGCTGGGTGTTTCCTTACATCGTGCCACGGAGGGTTCAGAGGTTCACTGGGACGAGGCTGGCCTGGCATGAGCTCTTCCTTCTGTTCCTCAGCACGTCTGGAGTGGCTGACCCTTCCTGACCCCGTAGCCTTCAGTCCAGCTGTGGCGCCTCGGTCTGGACACATCAGTCTCTCCAGGAGACAGGGCGGGCAGTGCGTCACTTCCCAACCCCCGGGCAGTGTGAGGGGCGGCCAGGAGGTCCTCGCACGCCCCAGCCCACCTGACGGGGAGGCAGAGGGCCTCACGCCCTTGGCCTCTGACCCCAGCCCTCTCCCCTGGGGAGGAATGTGGTTCCTGGAGCGTCTCCCAGCCAATCTAGAGAGGATTCAGGGAGGAGCCCTAGGGTGGGAGGGCATGATGGAGGCTGCTTTCTGTAGAGAAGAGACCGTGGCCAGAAGGGACCATACCTCAGGAATGGGGGAGAAAGTTCCTTCCACTGTAGTGTGAAGTTCTCTGTTCCTCGTAAGTATGAGAAAGCCAGGGAGGTGGTGAGGACTGTGGAGGAGCATCTCTGTGCTCAGACTGGCCTGATGTGATCCTGGCTCTGCTCTTTAAGACGTTTGTGCCTCAGTTTCTGCACCTGTAAAATGGGGATGTTATAGTGCTTGCCTGCAGGGTGATTTTTATGAGTCACTTAGATAATGTGACATGACAGAGTTGGCATCTAAAAAACCAATGGCCATCATCGTTATATTCTATGGATAGATTCTAAAAAGTTCCAGTGAAATTGCTGGGCTGGTTCTGGAGGCTTTGCTCACGGGAATCGCTGTGTGGGGTCTGTTCCCAGGCTGCAGTGTCCCTGGGTGCGAGCGTTCATTTGTCCATGAGAAGGTGGTGGAGGTGGAGGAGGCCGGGTGGGACTCGGCCTTCGCACTCAGGCCAGGCCTCACCGTAGGAGTGGGGGCAGCTGGCTTGGAGCCTCTTCACCTGTCTAGCGGGTACAATCAGGGGGCTTTGCAAGAATGAGATGCAGAAATGGCTGAAAGGCCTGACAGACAGATGCAGGCTCTAATAAAGGGTTGCTCCACTTTTCCTTTCCTCTGTAGGGTGTGCTGGGCTTGCCCACCTGCCCAGAAGTGGCCCTGGGCTCTGGAGCTGCTTCCCTTCTTGGAGCCGGTGCCCTGGGCTCTGGAGCTGCTTCCTTGCCTGGAGCAGGTGCCCTGGGCTCTGGAGCTGCTTCCCCGCCTGGAGCTCATGCCCTAGGCTCTGGAGCTGCTTCCCTGCGGGGGAGCGGGCAGGCCCGGCTGCTTTGGAGCAGACTTCCTCCTGCAGCACTGCTTGGGGCCCCTGAGGAGGTCGCCGGGCACGGTGGGCTCAGAGCTCTTCCAAGGTAGAGCAGAGTGTGGGGCCAGGGCCTCGGTGCACCCAGCAGGCGTGGGGCGCACAGGGGAGACTCTTGCCTGCGCCGCACCACCGTCTGGCGCCGGACGCCGAGCACGTTCAGCGGGGATGTTTTTATCCTCCATCGGCCTCTAAGGAGCCAGCCCCCCTCTCCCCGTCTGCTGCTGGTGAGAGGGTCAAACAATTATGGGTCTCCTCATTTCCAAACCAACTGGGAAATTAAGTCGCATCTCCATCAGAGCACTATTAGTAATTTTCAAGAAAGAAGTAATTGAAAGAAACTTTTTAATACCCTCACCAAATTGGCATGGGGCATGGGAACCACACGGGCTTCTCCCCACCTCCCCCACGGCCCCTCCGCCCCTCCCGCTACCGTCTTCTCTCCAGCAGACCCCACCTGGCCCGGCTGCCTGGCCTGGGTCACTGGGTCCCGCTCGGGCTCCACCGCCGGCTCCTGCTCGCGAGCTGCCTGACCCTCCAGTGCTGCTCCACTCGGTGCCTCTTGTTCTTCACCTGGAAACAGAGGTGGTCCAGTTCCCCTTCACCTGGCTGTCGGGAGGTGTGAGGGAGGTGACACCCAGGAACTGCTGGGCCCTGTGTCAGGCGTGTCAAAGGGCTCAATGACTGGTGGCCGCGCTTCTCCTGGTGATGCTGGCACCACCGTCAACCGTCACTGCCACTACCTCCGTCATGCTGCTGGGTGCTGCTCAGGGCTCAGTCCATGCCCATTGTGGCACTCCTGGGACCCAGATCCACCAGGCACTTCTCTAAACTCCTTTTACTCCTGTCTCAACCACGTATTTGGCGTTTCTTTATGAAAAGCTGTGGCGTCACTTGTGGTGGGATAATATTACTAATGCTCAGGCCTTCACTGAGCGTCGGCTCTGTGCTCAGCCCTCCCATGCATCATTCTACCAGCGCCACACAGCTGCCTATCCCCACTTACAAGGAAGACCCTGCAGCTCCAAGAGGCGAAGGGACTGGCAGAGCCAGGGCTCTGGGCAGGCCCACTGAGCATGGCTCCAGGGACCACTGTGGGGCTCCGGGTGCTGACGTTGGGCCTGTTTAACTGCACGTGACATGATGGGCTTTCCGGCTGCTGGAGGGTGGAGCCCACAGAACCCGCTGCTTCAGACGGGCTCCATCTACGCAGGGACTTGTGGGACGAGGAGGGAGTCTGCCCTCCGCTGCCTTTGGGGTCAGGCCAACCAGGTTGCTTAGCTGTGTGACACAAACTCTCTGTGTCCCTCTGCACCTGTTTCCTCACAAGGAATGGAGGTCTTGTTCCTGCCTCATGGGCTTGTCATGAAGATGAAATAACAGTAGCCGCTTGAATGATGCCTGGACCTCGAGAGCGTTCTGAGTGGCTAGGATCAGGAGAGCTGAGAGGAAAACCCAGGGCTCTGCC